AAATTTTTGCCATTTTTTACGATTTTGGTGAGATCAATAAAATTTATCGCTTCCATTGACCGCTCGTTGTGGAAATTCCATTGTTAGAGCGTAATCAAAATCTATAACATGAAATTTCGATTTTGAGTTTTGGCAACAAATGAGGCATTTAAAATATGCCTAAAAAACGATGAATTTACTTTTACATTACAAACGATCACACGTCACAAGAAATGCTTTTACGAAGACTGTATTGGATGGATCATTCGTAAAGTGAAAGCTTATATTCACCGTTTTTAGGCATATTTCAGATGCCTCACATTTGTTGCCAAAATTCAAAACCTAAAGTTCATGCTATATATTTTTAAGCCTAGGCTGTAATAATGGAAACTCCATAGTGGCCGATCAATGGAAGTGATAAATTTTATTGATCTCATACATTTGTCGTAAAATATAAAAATTGCATACAAAAGTAGCACTCTTCAACTTTAAAGCGCATTTTGATTTTTGTCGATAGGACACTCTAACAAAAGATTACCGTCGAGTTTATACAAAGTTTATTTACATGATTTTTATAGATTCAGTGGCATTTTCGCCTCTGAATGAAAGTTGTCTGATGAAGTATGAGAACTTTGATAAAGTAACCAATAGTCGGTTGCACTGCAAACGAGAAAATAATGAGCTAGTTTGACTTAGAGATGGAAGAATAGGGAGGTCTGTATAAAGATTATCAGAAACTGTCAAACATCCAGAACTAGAAACTAAGAAGAAAAATACTGGAATATAAACTGGAAAACTGAAAAAATTTGGAATATAAACTCTAGAGCACAGATTTTTTTTGAAGATTCATGATAAGCACAGAAATGGGATGCTTACAGATACTTGTCAAAGTATCCATCTGAAGTTGCATGAGTATCTTATCCATGAAATGGCATCTAAATTTTGGAGTGAAGGTCGAGATTCTAAATGAAAAAAGCGTTTGAAAGTAGAAAGGAAGCCAGAAAATAGCAGATGTGATAATAAATATCAAAAAAATTGACAAAAACTAAATGAACAACTGGAGTATGAAAGTTTAAAAAATTTTCGGCATCCAAATAACCAAACCCAGAAAAATATACTTTGACAAAATATCCCTTAGTAAATTGTATTAATCTAAACCTAAACAGAACAGACTAAGACATGGTCATAAAGGAAATAAGACTGAAATAAGGTGCTGGAGGATAAATGAAAACAGAACAAGAGTACTCTACCTTGTACCAGACTGTACAGTTCTAAAGGTTGAGTGTCATACATTTTTGGTAGTCATGCAAGAATGGTTGACTGTTTCAAGCACTTTTCTGTTGTTGAGTACAAGATTGTTGTAATACAAGATCCAGAGGAAAGCTTATATATACAAAGATCGGAAAGTTTAGATATACTTTAGATAAAAAATATTAATATACTTCAAAAACTTTCAAAATGATAAGCAGATATTTACATGAGAGCATTTAAGTAAAAATTGCTCAAATTGTGTACAAATAACAATGGACCGGTAATAACATATGGTTCCGAAACAATAACTTTAACCAAACATTCTGCAAATAAATTGAGAGTAACCCAAAGAAAAATGGAAAGAGCAATGTTGGGAATAACTAGAGGAGATATGGTACCAAATAGGATAGTGAGAGAGAGGACTAAAGTGACAGATGTCATAGAAAAAATTGCACAAGCCAAATGGAGATGGCCTGGACATATAGCACGTTTAAATGATAATAGGTGGACCAAACGACTCATAGAATGGAGACGTAGAGAAGACAAAAGACACCGAGGCAGACCACCAAAAAGATGGATGGACGACTTGAGAAAAACAGTCGGAAATTGGATACAGAAGGCGCAAGATAGAGAACAGTGGAAGAACATGGAGGAGACCTATATCCAACAGTGGATGCAAGACGTTGAGGAATGATGATGATGAACAATGGACCAGAAGCACTGAATAATATTTTGTTGTGTTAATCACACAAGTCCACAGTCAAACAAGAGTCTATAGAAAAGCAACCCACACCAAGATATTTTTAATTTACCACTCAAATCACCGCATAAATATCAAATCATCCAAAGCACGAGGTCTATTCTGTCCAAATACCACACCAAAGAACACACGGGTGATCAAAGAACGGCATCTTCTCATCACCGTGTGAATGCAAACATTTTTACGTGAGAAAAACCGCAAGACAGCCCTTTTAGAAGAAATGAGCATGAATCATAAATCAACAACAGACTTTAAAAGATTATCACATATAATTCTGCGCCTGGAACAATAAGCGCAGAATATAATGGAAATATGCAAATATATCAATAGTCATGAAAGAAACAGAGTAAAATCAAAGAAGTGGCACTCATCTTACATCTAAATGAAGAAAAATGTTTAGCAAACTCATGAATAGAATGTAGCAGCCTCTGGTTACAAATAATCAAAGAAGTTAGCAATAAGAATATAACAACCTTTAATGAGTTAATAGAAGCTCAGAGAATTATTATCTACAACTACATAAGCATATGCTTATTTGCTTACAAGATTGGGGCCAACTAAGTCAACTGTCAAAGTGGTTGCCGTCAAGCGACAATTAATAAACATTTAAAGTTTAACAATTTATTAATTTATAAAAATGTTTTCAAAACTACTTCCGGACTGAAAATCGGAATGTCAAATCAAACAAAAAATGCAAGTCTCATACAATTAATTGTGGTTTAATCTCATATAAATACGATATGTTGAATATAATTGTATATATTGTATAATGTAGTAAAAATGAAGAGCTCGTTCTATATATTAATTTGATAATACCACAGCCACGGTATAATAAAAGTTGAAGCCTAAATAATAATAATAAATGAAAAGGAGGCAATTTTTGAAGCGATACGAAAGCTAACAAAATAAATAGTTAGAAAGAAACATTACAAAGATACATTTATAATACCTACATTAGATAATAAGGAAAAAAATAGAAAACAATGAATAATTCGAATTTCTGCTTAAAATTAAAAAATTGTATATGGGAATAAACCAAATATAAATGGGTAAAAAAATATCCATTAAAAAACATCAAGAAAATAGTTTTAAGATAAATAACTAAAAAAAAAACAAATGATGAAAAACTTTACCGATAGGTATATGTTTTGGTTGATGGATGGTGAAAAACCTGAATATTCTTCAAAAAGTATATACGTATGATTCGTAAAAAATAACAAGAAAACACTCGGATGAAGAAAAACCATAATGAGATATTTAAAGTGTGAAAAAAATAATGTAAAATAATAAAAATGGGGAATATTTTCAATAAAAACAAACGGATAGAAAACTATAACATTTAAACAAACAATTAGGTATATAAAAACAGATTTTTTTGCTTACCGGATAGGATTCTTAGAAAAAGATCTTCCAAAAATTCTGTGCAGCACTGCTTTCTTATTCACACATTCAATCTCAGGAGAATGCAGTAAACCCATATTTTCACAATAAAAAACAAATTCACAAACACAAACTAGTACGATCGATAGTACGTAATTAACAAGTGTAAGACACGAGTAAAACTAGTTCTGGAAGACCGGGATGCAGTATAAGTAACAGGTAGTACCCGCCTCCGATTGGATAGTACCCGCCTCTGATAGGTAATACTGCAGTCGGGGGTGGGTCTGTGATACCCTGGCGAATGAGTACCGTTTGGGATAGAAAGTTTAATTGGAATTTCCAAAGAAAAGTGTTTTTCTGAGATACATTTGCATCGACCAATTTATTGGAGGGGATTTTGTGTCATAAAAAATATTTTCCTTTAGAAGAATTGAAATGAAATAATTTATCAAAAAATAAAAAAACAAAGATTAAAATTCTAATCTAAATCTAAATTTATTATTTACTGATTTTACCCAATGTAGGTACTATTTTTTCCACGTATCAATTGGACCTTTATATACTTTTGAAATATACCTGTACCAATTGTTCGACGTGGATATACAAAATAACAATACTAAAATTGCAATTTGCAGAACATATCAGATATGAAGATGAAACATTCTATAGGATTCTGTAGGGACTATAGGATTCTGATGGAACTTCAGATATGAAGATGGAACATTCTAATCGCACATTGGAGGAGACAAGATTTGCAGGCAATAACTCAGGATAAATAATAAAATGGTAGAGATCCGTTTGCCATGTAAAAAACTTATTCGAAAATCAAACCAAACATAGCTGCTCGAGGAACAAATATCGTTCTCGCCTTTGCAAATAAGGTAGATGCAGCAGCATATATAGCCAACATTAAAAGTTAAGAATATTTTTTCGATTTTTGGAGCAGCTGCATTAAATATCTGTATAAAAGTAAATGAAGACAAAATAAAATACATGGTCGTTTCAAAACAAGAAAGATGACGAATACGGTAAATTATTAGATACTATAAATTACCAGGTGGTCATTCGAGCTGGTTAAAGAATATAAATATCTAGGAACGACAATCACCAATGATAACAAAGTAGAATGAGAAGTTAAAACAAAAATACTGGCAAGAAATATATCTTTATTTGCAATGAAGATGCAGACACAACAACGAATTGCGAGTCTGTCTTCAGAAAGGAAAATCTTGTGGGATATATAAAGGCTAGTAGACTAAGATGGTCAAGACATGTGATATACAGTAATGAAAATCGCCTTATAAACAATTGGTTTTGGGTAAGACCAGATGGGAGAAGATCTGGAGAATCTGGTAGTGAGACAAGGGAAAATAATTGCAGAGGATCGACAAGAATGAAAGACAATAGTAAACGGTAATACTCACGAAGAATTGTAGCCATGATAAACATAATTAAAACTTAAAACACAAGAGAAACAAAGATAAAACTAGTCCACGATAATTAGTCTAATCATAGGTTATTAAAGGGATGATCTTGAAAATGCTAAATTAATTTATTTAAAATATAAACTTAAGATAAATAAGATTTTATATAATGCTAGCCATTAATGCCTTAAAAATTACAGACTTACCTTCCTATTGGATTAGATGAAGGTAATCCATTTTTGTGTTCCTCATCACTCTCATCTGAAATCTCGAGATCATCTCTTAAATCCCTGAAACAATAAAAATAATATGAAAAATATACTGGAACAGTGTTAATTTTTTTAAACAGTTGTAATTTTTAAATGATATATTAAACATTGATCATACGTTTCCGTAAACTCATCACCAATTAACATAAACGCACCCTTAGATAGTATAAACCCATCACCGTAACAAAACTTGGATTTTAAAATAGACCTGCAGAAATGTGCAAACTGATCACCGGCATAACTGCAATCATCACAGCTATTTTCACTGCAATCCTTGGCAGCTATAGACAATAAAATGACCTTTGGCCGTTTCTAAAAACCAGAAAACAGCACTTGAGCATTTTGATACAATCTGTCATTGCTAGATACACCAAATTTAAAAATTCCCGGCAATAATGCCATAAACTGTAGAGTTTTGTGATTGTGTAAAATTAAGTTTCTTTCGTCTTCTATGCACTATTACTTCCAAAAAGTCAAATAACTCCAAAACGCCACCACGTAGATCGAATGTATACTACTTCAACTCTTTCGTCATAGCCTTCCTTTAAGTATAAACTGTAGTATCGAATATCTGCTAGCTTTTGCTATATGCCTAAAGTATCCCAAGAGATAACCTAGTCTATCTCATGTTTCAATAAAAACTTCTTCGATCGTAATATCATCAACTAGAGGCTTTTTTGTACAAGATTTTTACAAATATTAAATTTCTATGACGTCTGCCGAACCTCTAGATACTCAAAAAGCCTATCGTGTTGGACCCTATCAAATGCTTATTCAAATTCTATTAAGCAGACTAATTCTTTAATTCTCAATCCGTGCCTGAAACAAAATTGTTTTTCCTATAGTTCCGTCGCATTTATGTCTATTTATATGGCAAATTATCCTTCAAAACAATTTGCAAGAGTGACTCAAGAGACTAATTCTTTAGGTACCGTCTCCTCTAAGGAGGTTGGTAATCATCACAGTTATTTTCACTTTTGAGATTGCAGCTCTGAACAAGTCGATGGAACTACAATTATACCACTTTCTCAGATTGTTGAGCCAGGAGTTTTCGCTGCATTATGGTTTGTAGCAACACATATTTATCCCCTCTCAGAACGTGGTCGAGATATTGTAAATTTCTTATCTTAATCGTATTCATGATTTCCATTTTCTTTTCATCTTTCTGAGGACCTCAACATTTGATATTCAGTCTGCCCAACTTATTTTTAATATTCTTCGGTTAGTCCCCATCTCGAATGCTTTAAATCGATCGCTCACCTCTTTCTTTAAGGTCCAGGCGTCCACCCCATACAGCAGCACCGAAAACACATATGAACGTAATATTCTTATTTTGAGTTACACTAAGGTCTCTACTGCATAATACTTTTCTCATCTTATTAAATGTTGCTCTAGTTTGTCCAATTCTCATTTTTATTTCTTCTGTATACTCGTTATTTTCATTAATAATTGTACCAAGATATCTGTATTTTTTTACTTTTTCTATTGGAACCCCTCTTACGTTCAAAATGTCTTGTTTCTGTTTTGGAAATTGTCATAAATTTTGTTTTCTTAGCATTAAGCGTTAGTCCGCTTTCCTCACTAGCATTTACTACATTATCTAATACATTATCTAATACCTACCTACCTACTTAAGTTAATACCTACCGAAAATACTATTTTTATGGTATAACCTGTGACAATATTATATTTGAAATTAAGGATCGATTTGCTTTTAGAAATCATCTGTCTGGTGCAAAGTTGTTTCAAAGAGAAAATTATGAACATTACAGAAAGGAACTACTGAAATATTTTCTCTACTTTAAAGTTGATCAAGACTTTTCAATTCAACGAAAAAGTAATGGAAAGGTTGGTCTCCGATAAAAACAGAAGAATTTTAAGAAATTAAGCTATTTGGTCTAAGCTACATATTTTTTTGTATTATGAAATCAGCGCTTCCCTGAAATAATTAACACCAGCCGCCACTGATAAAGAATCAAGAAGAATATCACCAAATAAGCTGTAAACAAAAATACGTAGTGACAACGAATGAAAGAGTGACAAATGAGGGGAATCGATAGAGAAGTAAGCATTATTAAAATACATAAAATTACATGCATATAGAATTTCCAAACAAGATTACATAAACGCGCAAAAATAGCAAATAGCAACATAGTCAAAAATAAATTACATAAAAAAGTTTAATTTGAAGGCTCGAAAATAGTGACAGCTGCCCGAGTATCACAAAGTCTGTCTTTAGATATTTTCAGTGGAATACAAGGGAAATTTCGCTGGCCAAGTGTTTTCTACTATTTATTTAAAACCTAATGCAATATGTAAATTATTATGCACTGCTGTCAATTCAACAATCAACACAGGCGCACTCATAAGTTTAAAGGAAAATTTTACAATTAATAATAATAATTCCTATATTAGTCTCGTATACTTAATATGTTTATAATAATATATTCTTTTAAATTTTCTGTAAATAAAATTTGAATTTAAACACAAATATTTACATACAGAAATGTTTTTTAATTGCTTTGTTTACTTGTTACACGGAAAACCCGAGTTTTTTTACCTGCTTCACGCCCTTATCAGCAGGTGTTTGATTGTTTAGAAAGTTTTGAAGAGTTGAAACAAAAAGTACGTTGTATTATTTAATAGTCATTTAATTATATTTTCTTTTTCTTGTTTACTAAATATTTGTCCTTTATTTAATATATTTAATAATCAAGAATTATAATCAAGAAACATTAAATAAGTTTACAGCGCCAAGACAATATTATTAAAAAATTAACTATATATATATATATATATATATATATATATATATATATATATATATATATATATATATATATATATATATATAACAATTTATTGTGTTGGAATATCGGGTATGCGGTCTGTTATTATTTAAAAAAAAACTCCTTTTTCTTTTAATCCTCTGTATTTCGCTGATTTTTTGTCAGCTTCATCAGGCGACAACTAAAATATGATTAAAAGTTATATAAAAATCAGTTTAGAATAAACAATGACTCACTTACAGATTTAGAGTGGAAAATATTTAAACAAGTTGTTGAACATAATTTGTTCAAAACAGTACTGACAGTATTGATTAAAAGCACCTAGGTCACTAGTAATTAAATATAAAAACAGAGCAAACAAAAACAACCAAGAAACAATTAAAACACAATAAAATTTCACATTAAAAATATATAGGGTCATTTAAAATTGACTGAAGTGAAGAACTTCACTGGGTCAAAAAACTGAAGTGAAGAAAATCCTAAATCCTAATGATTCAAAAATCTTCAACTTTTAAAATGTGGACTGGACTCTCTACTGTAACTACACGCTTTTGGGTGTAATTGCTTTTTAAGAGTGACAAAGCAAAATGCTACAACTATTAAGTGTAACAAACTCCGTTTCCAGATTCTTACAGCAAGTTTATAAAAGAAAGAATAGAGAACAAAGTTACTGATGATGAGGAGCAAAGTGGTTTCCATACAGGAAGTTCTTGTACTGACAATATGTTTTACGTAAAACAGTTTTTAGCTAAAAGAACAGCCGGAAACACGTATGATATTCGTAGATTTTACGATGAAGAAATTGTGACTCGCAATGAAGAAGAATGGTGTAAGTGATAAATGTTCAAACTGTTAAAAATTTAAGTAGTTTCGCAACTGTATATAAACTTTATTAAAACATTAAGAGACTTTTGTATTAGTGTCTTAAAGGGTGGAGGTTGGTCCGCCATCATCACGAGAGTCGTTCCATCGACCAAACAAGGCAGTCGTGTCTTAGTGAAGGGTGGAGATCCGCTCCGCCATCATCAATACTTTTGTGGTTCCTGTAGGTCGAAGAAGACGTCGTTTTCGATGGCAATTGGTGCGATTATTTCAGGGGTAAAGTAAAACCTACACAATTTGTTACCAAAACTATTTGGTGTGCCAAAACTATTGTGTTACCAAAACTTGTGCCGCGAATCAAGAGCCAATTTAGTCTTTATTTGGAACATTTAAATTTAACTTTATCAGAACTAATTTCGGTGGTAAATCCACTAATTTTTCTATGCTTCTTTGTTAACAACAATGTATGAAAGAATAGTCTTTTGTTTGCAATAATGTATTAACAACCGTTTATTTCGATAGCGTCTGTTTTTTACTCGAAATCTTGGCTAACTGTACTCGAAAAGAGGAGAAGGAGGGAGATTCAAAACTAGCAAACAGTCTCTTCATTATTTTATCAATGTTTATATACCGTTGCGAAAATGCAACAATGAGAAATTTTTCCCTTTGCAATTTGCTGACAGCCATATTAGCTGAGAATGAGAATTATATAAGATCAGAAAATAAATAATTAGGAATGTTAAGTCATACAAGTACTTTGGAGTTACAACTACTAACGAAAGCTCCAGTGAGACTGAAATTAATAAACGAATTGGATAAGGTAAGCAGGTGGCGAAACATCTAAGTCGCTTGCAGTAGAACGCACAAATACAAGATACAAAAATCAGAATCTACAAGACCATAGTCGAAAGCACCGCAACTTATGGAGTTAAGGTCTGGCAAATCACAGACTGTTTAAAACATGCTACTGTTGATGGTAATGCAGTTTTGGAGACGTTGCTGACAACCTTGTGTCTTACAATGCACTGGAGATATTAATAGAAAAAGGATCTTCGGAGGAAAAAAAGCACCTGTTAATAAAATGTGCATGTTATTTTCAGTTTCTGGAATACGTAAGTACATTTCAAACACATCCCAACTTGTAAGCCAATAGAATATGACAATAGAAAGTTGAATCTAACACAAATTTTAATATATCTGCAGACTATTAATTTAAGAATAACGTGGCGGATATAGATTTCTACGCAAATAGTCCAAGAAAGCCGGATATATACGACAGATACATTAAGAAAATAATATATATTATACTATTGAAATATATTTTGTCTGTAACAGTTTCTGATCATCCGTATTAAACGTAAACGTTTTTTTTTTATTATTATTTTTCGGAAGTTGTTTTCGACAAATTAA